AGTTTTGTGCTCCAAGTGCCTCTTGAAGTTCATGCACTATTCAGTGAGAAACCAACAGTAATCGCAGTGATCTGGTGTTGGAGGGTGTCCACGGGACATTGTTAGTAACTGTTAGTTCTAAAGCATACTACATGCATGAGTTTACAAAATCAACAAACAACCACAACAAACACACACCAAAGGTAGGCACATGAGGGGGGGGTAGCATATACATATATATATATATACATATTCCTACTTATGGACCTGGATGCTGCGAGATTTTGTCCATCAGAAGGAAATTTTGTTCTAGGTGTCACCTGTTCTAGTGACCCCTCCAAACAGCATTTATGGGTCCGACAATCAGAGGACTCCTGTCAGACTTAGAGGATCAGGTGAGTTCGTATACACATAGGTTGCAATCCTCACTTGCAGCCGTCATAGCCACTTGCTCATGAAGCAATAGCCCAGGTTCTATCAAGAGCATCCACTCAAGCAGAACCAGCGCACGATCAAGCAAACGCTGGCGCCGCGGATGAGCAACCCTAAACCCTAAACCCCCTAAACCCTAAACCCCTAAACCCTAAACCACTAAACACCCTAAACCCTAAACCGGGAATAGAATTTGGAGAATTTCTCGTGCGCCAGGCCCAGGGCATGGGTCCCAAGCGTGCCTATAAGACCCGCCTTTGAAGCTTCGAAGTCAAACTCATAATCTGGGGGCCTTAAGAATTGGAATAGGGTTTTGTGGGAATATTATAAAGGGATGCTTAAAGGGTTCTATAAGGGTTTAGGGTTTAGGGTAGGGGCCTTAAGAACTACAATAGGGTTTGGGGTATCTTAGACCAGAATTATAATAAGGAGTCCCCCAAAACCTATTCTAAATTATGAAGGCCCTCACATTACAGGCCATTTTGTGTGGATGTTTGGACGTATACGGCACAAGGGCTTACTTCGAGGGTCGGGGGACTTAGGAAGTAGATATCAAGTAGAGTCTTAGTACCCTAAAAGGGATCCTAATTGAGGTCATGTACTTATAAGTCTGTAAAATAACTAGTTACTAAGTTCCCCGACCCTCCAAGTTGGCTGTGAGGAGTCGGCGAGGGTTTCGGACTTCGTGGCTGAGTCTCAAGGGAATAAAGGAGGGCCCCTTAAAGGGACCCTTGGGGTTCTATAGGGGCTTTATGAGACTTTGTAAGGGGTATATAAGGGTTATATAGGGTAGTTGGATTAGGGGTTCTATAGGGGCTTCATGAGACTATATAAGGGGTATATAAGGGTTATATAGGGTAGTTGGATTAGGGGTCCCTCTACGTAGGGGTCCCTCCTACTGTCCCTTATAACAGTCTATTTCAAGGGCGCCGACGACGGCAAGCACGGCCCTGAGATGACAGCCCTAAGCCCTAAACCCCTAAAACCCTGAACCCCTAAAACCCTAAACCCCTAAAATCCTAAACCCCTAAACTCCTAAACCCCGAAACCCTAAACCCAAAGCCTAATTCCGAAAACCCCACGTGACGGCCCGGAAGCCCTGAGCCCACAGATCAGAAAGGGTAAGTAGGGTTAGGGTTTTGGGGTATATTATACTACCGCTACAGTACAATAAGGAAACCCCGAAATGGTATGGGTAATTGTTGAGGCCCTACATTACTTAACAGACCAAGAGACTTGGTAAGTAGGGTTATGAGTCATGTGGCTATTGCTGCACGCTTTTATACCCCCAACTAATGGGAGCTAGGATTAGGGGGACCCTGGGGGATATAGACCCTCTCAATAAGGTCCTTTTTAAGAGAGCCAAAAGTAGGGTTCAGAAGGGGTACCCTTTAAGGGGTACCCTAATAATTCTACCTAACTAACTTCCTTGCTAAACCGTCAGCCCAAGCTCATTTTTGGAGGGTTTATGAACCCATAAACTCAGCACAGCCACTCGGAGACCACGAACGGCCCTCAACCCCTACGTTCAAGCCTCGGCCCGTAATACGGGTGTCTGGCCATGTTCCTAAACCCTAAACCCTAAACCCTAAACCCTAAACCCTTGAACATAATATATCTCGAACCTTTAGAGGAACCCTTTTCGGTGATTAAGGCACCACCATTAGCCGACCACCAAAGCCCTCCGCAGCCCAGGAAGGCATCAAGCGACCTCGCTGCAGATAACATTCTCCTGGGCTTCGACACTTCTTAGGTCAATTCGGGCTAAGGGTTTGGTGTGCCCCTTGTGTCTGTGTGTGTGTGTCTACATTAGTCACTTAGAGCATCTTTTGCTGGATACATTTTGAGGAGTACAAGTACAGTAGTGACAAAACCCACTTCGTCTGTAGTCGTTCTCGGCCGGCTCCCTTGATTCTTGAACCGAAAGCCTAAAGCAACGCCCCGAAAGGGCCCTAGTATCAGGCTTCCCCGAATAACACCAACTTTAAGTTTCCCCGGTCATTCGTTGTGCCGTCCCTTCCTCCTTAGGGCTTTGAGTTTATGGCTTTTGTTTTGAGGCTCCGTCCAGGTAAAATACGGGTTTTAATAATTAGCAGTACCGTTTTGGGGTTCCTTATCATATTTATGGCATCGTAGACCTCAAAACCTTGTTCTAATTATTAAGGCCCCTACATTATTGAAACAGACAGTCGGGGAATCTTGTTCTCAAGGGCCACAGGGAGACTTAGATCAGGCGAGCTCAAAGGACTCGGCCAGAGATCGGGGGCTTAGGGCCACGGGCTCGGGGTGTCATGCAGAAGCTGATCATGGTAATCCTGCCGTTTAAAGGTTTCCTGGTAGAAGTGTAGCAGAACACCCGCCGCAACCCTGCTCTACTTGGAGGGTCGGAGGACTTAGTAAATGGTTATTTTATAGACTTATAAGTACTATAACCCCAATTAGGGTCCCTTTCAGGGTACTTACAAGTCTACTTATCACCTACTTACTAAGTCCCCCGACCCTCCAAGTAGCTTTTCGGATTCAGGGTCCCTGGTCATGTTAGGATCGAGGAACCGGGGACCTGGTGCTGAACCCTAAACCCTAAGCCCTAAACACTAAGCCCTACACCCTAAACCCGAAACCCTACACCCTAAACCCTCAACCCTACACCCTAAATCCGAAACTCTCCCAACTTCCTAGGACGAATGCCGCATTTTTGGAGCGAATTTTGAAGACCCCAGTGGTCCAGGAGCCGCACCCAGATCAGGGTTTAGGGCTTAGGCATCGGGGGATAACTAAGACTCTAAGGGCTTGAGGAGGGACCCTTAATGGGGACCCTTGTACATTATTGGGGTTAATATGGAGACTACCTGGCTCTATAAGGGGTATATA